TGCACCACACGAAGCAGTTACTTGGCTGCCAAGGAAGCGAGTGTGGCGCTTTCACGACGAAAGGTGCGCTGGTTGCTGAGCAGGACTTCGAAAGCGCTCCGCCCCAAAAGCGATCCGCCCACTAGTTTAGTTGGTGATTTGGACGAGCTGCGTTGCCAGCAGCGGCACAACTGGAGCAACTCGATTGAGCATGGTTTGGCATGGTGCCACCAAACGCGTTGCGTAAACTCGTTCATACGTCCGATGTCTTATGGTTAGCCGTTGCCCATTCATGAGTGAAAAATCAACGGCCAAAAAGGGGTCCCGTTTTGCGTTTCTTGACGGATTTCTCTGCTTTTTTCGCCACTGGCGTACCATTGAGCACTCCCACGTCTCCCTACAACCCCTTTTACAACCTATCGTAATCGCTCCCTTCAAGGTAAACTTTCATTATGCTGCTTCGCCACTGTGATTTCTATGAGTTTCACAAGTGGATGAGGGTGTGCGGATGCTTTTTACTCATGTGAATTTCAGGAGAACTCCCATCGCCCATGCTAGTTGAGCAGCCTACGTAATAAATTCTATGCAAACAAGTTCACAGAGACATAGCTCAAAAAGTCACCACTCATGACATGTGATATATGTGCGGATACATTTCCAGACATTCCCCAAGCCTCCAAAAGACTTCGGAGGGTATACTTAGGAAAACATCCACATTTTGTCATTTTTTGCCAAACTAGTAACCTAATTTTCATTGCAACTCGCAACGGAACATTGTCGTAAGAATGCTAAATTGTAGGCGAAATCAGGTCCTCATATTTTGTGGCTAGCATAATTCGTACGAATTCATTTTCGCACAAGAATACTTCCCAACACCAAAGTGTTTGACGGCAGCGATTACGGTAGCATTTAGAGAGGTATGGAGACGAGGGGGAGTTCAGTGGTTCACCGACGGCGAAAAAAAAAACAGAAAAATCCGTCAAAAAGCTTTTCTGCGCAGATTTTCGTTCATGGACAGACAACGGCTCACATAGCGGACTTATGGACGAGTTTACCGCAACGAGTCTGGCAGCCCCATGACAGACCATGTCCGGTCGAGTTGCTACAGTTATTATGACTGCTAGCAACACAGCTCGTCCAAATCACCAACTAAACTAGTGGGCGGATCGCTTTTGGGGCGGAGCGCTTTCGAAGTCCTGCTCAGCAACCAGCGCACCTTTCGTCGTGAAAGCGCTACACCTCGCTTCTTTGACAGCCAAGCCAGTGGTTGCATATATTGTACTTCCCCATGCGCACCGTCTATATCCTGATCACCTCCTTTAGCTCCATCACAACACTGTTTACCTATTGTGCCTAACGCTAATCGTTCACATTAATCCTGAAAGGGATAAAGGGAACACAAAAACTAGATGCGAAGCACATCCTTTGGAGAGGCCCGTAAAGTCGACCACTACCCCGAAACTAAGAAAAACCCCAGTCAATCGTTTCACAAGGTGGTACCAGATTCATGTAGGGTCCTTCATTTTTACCCTTCTGAATCTTCAAAACTATTTATACTGGGCATCTGCAGTTAGGAAGCACTTTTTTGACAGAATAGTAAACAGGTTCGAGCTGTAGCATATCACATTTTCAGTGACAAGGCAAACCGTGCACATAAGCGTACCTACAAACCTACCTGGTAGTGTGAAAAAGGTCAACTTGCTCTTTACCAAACCAACGCAAGATTTTAGCGAATAACATTCCATTCACTCATTTCCAACCTTTACCTTTTAGTCTTCATTGCAGTGGGGAGGAACAAGAATAAATATTCCTATGCTACAAGTCACGGCGATGGGAGGCGAGAGGTTCCGGGTTCTAGTTCCGCTAGGCGAAAGTTTTGTCACATCCCGAGCATTCTTGTGAAACCATTCCTTCACTCATTTCCAACCTTTACCTTTTAAGTCTTCATTGGAGTGGGGAGGAACAAGAATAAATGAATTCGTATTTCCTATGCTACCTACATACTATTATTTGGCACAAAAATGCAGTCCAACCCGTAGCGCGGTCGGATCCCAGGTAATAAATTACGGTCTCGCTTATGTGCCGAATTCATGTAGTCGCAGATCTCCAAATCTACCTACCCTGCGTTTCAGCATCATAAAATATGTTTAATATCAGAAAAGTTATAATTCAGATCGCAATATCTACTACGTTTTCTACATCACCAACTCAATATCATCATCCAATTGTACATAATTATGCTCGGGACCAAGTCAATTTATAATACAAGCTTATATCGATAGGACATTCTGACTGGATAAAAGGAAAGCTGCGCAAATTAGCGTACCTAGCACCACTACCCGGTTGCCTTAGATTGGCTGACTTGACCTTACCTACTCTTACATACTACCTGCTCTTCGCAAATTTCGAGAGAAAAAAGTTCATCTAAACTATCCAACCTTGCCCGAAGTCAATATTAGGATAGGCATACTTCTCCTTTACTCTCGGTGCCATAAATTATCGATCAGTCACTGGAACGATACCCCTAGCCTTCCTTCCTTTCGAGTAACCCATTTGAAGCTGTTCGCAGGTTCAGTAATGTGCCGAGAACCCACTTCGCTAGTGTTGTCAATTTTCTCAACTATTCTGAGTCCTAAGGCTCTTGTGGCATAGTAAAATTTCATTTGGCTAATTCATTCCTCACTTGTGCCTACTCTGAGATGTTTCTCCTCACTCTTATTACAACATCTCCCTCCTTCCCTCTATAAAAGGATAAAGGATAAAGCATTTGCCGTTGATCAATCCCTTTTTGGGATGCGGCACGCATTCTACTTCCATTTGTACATTCGCAGTGGCGTTTGAATGCGATGTGGCCTATACAATGACTTGCGGGGCCAGCCGATGTTCAAGTCAGTGTTTTTATCCTCCCAGACAAGTCTGGTACCAATTAACCGACCCCGGAGGGATGGAAGGCTTGGTTGGCCCGGGCGACTCACGACCCAGGATTTGATCCCGGACCGCTCGCGTGGTGAGCGCGCCACTTGTCTCTTTTCTGTTATCTTGTCACATCTTTCTCCCTCGTGTATGCGCATCTTAATAGGCAACAGTCTGAACTTGAAGAAGCCAGCTTTCCATTGTACAATACAAAGAGTGTCACAAGCCTAAGGCGAAACCTTATGCCATCACTTGTGCACGTCTTATGTTTCGCGCATCCTAGGTCCGTGCCGGAAGCGCGGTCATTATGAGTTGACTATATCCTCAGGCGTTTGAGTTTAACGTCCTACGCTGAGGAACAGCTCATGTTTTGGCGTAACTAGTTAATCAAAAAAAATTTCGGAATGGTTATTATATGCATGCAGTCAATTACAAAATTATTTAGATGGAACTATCAATCAAAATCTTACTAGATCTTGTTGGAATCTAGGAAGAAGCACTTGTTGACATTTTCCACCCTTCCTGCAGCTCAGGCATAGTTGCAGCATTTATCAGATTTCGTGCCTTTTGAGATTAATAAATGGCAGAATTTTAGGTGTATCGCTGTATTAGATCCTACTAGGAAACATGACGTGTGCAATACCAAAAACTCCAAAGAAATTACGGCCGTGACAGAGCAGAATGTAAACCAGATACATTCAAATCACTAATAGCTTTTGAGAGAAGTCTCTTCAGTGGAAGCCTTAAATTATTTCAATAAGCGCTCTAAATATAAAAAAAGCAATTGGATTCATTGACACATCCTCTTTAGATTTTTCAACGGCAATATGCCTCCCCCTCCCGTTCAACTACAGTACTTTGAGCAGTTCAGAGCTCACAGCAAATTGTAGCACAGCTGAGCACGATATTTTGGTAAGAAATTCTCATTAAATCCTTGCTTAACAAACAACTTCTATATTCGAGTTTGTAGGGAAGTATCACAGGAGTAATTATATCTTGAGCCAGATAGAACGAAAACAAACAGTGAGAAAGTCTCCCACTCTTCTCACGCGTTAACTCCTAGATCCCTGGCCGACGTCACCGATTACAAGTAATGCCTAACGTACAAAGCGTTGTTTTTCGAGTAGTCTCGAAACGCGCCAATCATCAGCCATGTTCATCCCAAATGCATGGAGGTGTTTTGAATGTATCATACAGTGGGCAAAGAAAATGTCAAATGGCTCATCCACTTTTCATTCCAGCCTTTGTTTACAATTTTCCAAACAGCTCACAAGCCAATCAGTCAGCACGCCCTTAGCAGTCCAGATATTCCAGTCACAGGCTTCAGCAAGCGCAACGAGTCACCTTTCTGCTTTATTGGACCCTTTCTCCGTCTTTGACACGCTGGCGACGGCACTCGCTTTTTTCGACCACGTGGGAAATGCGCGATTCTGCTGGCGCACCGGCCATAAATTTTGGATATAAATTGCCTGGAAACCTTAACGTAACTGGGTAATTTCAGAAGGAGGCGTGAAGGTTATCCAGGGGCATGGCAGTAGAATTCGTCCAACGCATAGCCGTCAACATAGAAGCAAGCATACGCTACAGTAATGTTATGCATTCCGGGTCCTTAACTACAACCCCCCTACCCCGCACCCCCTCGCTCATGAATAAACTGCTTCGAAAGCACACAGGTGGCCCTTTTTCATGGCATGGTGATGATAAGCGTCTAAAGTCATGAGTGTATATTTTTCGCAATCCCCGCCCCACGCACTGACCATGCCTTCAAGTTGATGCCAGCTGATGTCTGCGCCTCCTATGTCTCTATCCTCTCTCCTTCCTTTGCGGTCAGTCTCGCATTCGGACATTGCTCTTTCTTCTTTGCCGTTAGCTTGCACACTATGAGAGAGGGCCTTAATCAGGATGTTTTCAAAATTCTCTCAATTCTTTCCCCAATTTCATGTCCTACGGCACCTTCTATTCATATCTAAATCCCGATAGGAAAATACCGTTTTCGCAGAGTTGGTACCTTTAGGTTTGGAAATTAAACCTCAAAAAGAAAAACCTTCAAAAGCGCTATTCCAGCGCTTTCTTTCTGAATGAGCTAAGTACTGATGAAATCGTGGTACCTTTTCGAGCACTTTGATTTCGTCGCTCAATTGCTGCAGGGGGCCATCCTTGAAGGACTCTCGTAGCGCTTCGAGTCGAGCTGACGCTCGTTCTAGTCTGTCCTTCAGTTCAGAGTATCTTCCACGAACTTTATCGTATTTCGATACCTCTTCTGAAAAGCTTCAATTACCACTGCCTATTCAGAACGAGCTATTCGTAGCTGCCCACTTCCAAGCTTTGCCATTTCAGCCTCCTTCCAGGCAATTTCCGACTTGAATGTGGTATAGTCGATAAGGTCCAATAGAATCGGTCCTCGTCGGTCCGGAGCACCTTAATTTAGCCCACTTCAGGAACCATGGAAAAAAAGGAACCAATGCCAGCATACCTCCGCTCATAGTTCCTGTCGGCTTCAAATCGTCTCCGCGAGCTGTCACAGCGCGTAACTTCACCTGGCTGTCGTAGACTACTTCCTTTGCGCAATGGATAGTATCGCATATAAGGATCTAAACCAGCCACATAAATGCAAACAAAAAATTTTCAAAATATGACGAAAACACTCGTGAAAACGCGGGTCCCCTTTCTACTGACGCAGCCCGCATCTTGACCTCATGGGAAGCTCGCCAAATAAGCTCTATTGTTGTCAGAAGCATGTGGTGGGCAAGCTTGGCTGGCAAAAATCAAACCCTCCATCCCGCTACACCACATGTCCCCAGGCCGAACGATCCTACACAGAGTTAGCCCTTTTTGTCACCTCTCTTTTACATTTCAATAACCTTTCATATTCGACTCTTAACTCTAACGCTTGACACAGAACGCAAAATCATTGCTGGTTTTCACGCTTAATTTCGCCTCATAAGTCGCGCTTTGAACTCGGTTCGGCTAAAAAAGACACAGAAAGCAAATCCCTTCTAACGAGCGCTTGAAAAAAAAAACGTGAAAAGACTCACTCCGCCAAAGACGAGCTCAAAAACTTTCGTGTACAATGGGTCGAATTCAATGAGATCCAAAGCCAACATCATGTTTTCTCCTTTGAATTTTCTAGCCTGAAATCAGCTTTTCATAGGAACATTTTATCATCAATTCTAGAAGGACATAAATTCAAAGCTTTCACTAAGCAGGCGTCGCCAATATTTCGTTATGGCGTCGACAAGACATTAACGTGCGTCGTGAGGGTAAAGAAAGGTCGCATAAATTTTCATCACATCCTATACTTGTGTCATAATGACCTGGCTATAGTATAAAGGAAAAGCTATCAAACGAGACAATTTCCTTGCACAAAGAAAAAAGGGCGATTCGCGCCCAGTTTCGTTGCTATTGAGGGAACACGATAGGGATGGGGCGTGCAACTCAAGACTTGATCTTCGGGCTCGCGTTTCAAGTGTACCACTTGCCACTACTTTGCTTTCGCCCACTCGCGGTAATAAGTGAAAAATATGAAGCACGAAACTCCTCGGGTTTTGCGCCTTGTTGGCAGAGGTGTGGGGCCGGGGAGCTTAGCATGAAAATAATGAGCTACTATATCGCTCAAGCTCTAATAGGTGACTGTCACCAATTATGATGACTGTGTTTCCCAATTATTATGGTGTCACCGTTTTCTACATCACTCGAAATTTTGCCCAATCGATGGAATATTATTGAAAACTTCTTGGACCCATTTGTATACCTTCTTAAAGGGAGGGCTCCACGATAAGGACGAAGGTCAAAATGGGGAAACTTACCTAGTAAAGAGACAGGCCAGCTTTCTGAGGGTACGGTCCGACATGCAATTTGCATCGAAGGATATGTCTCGGCGATCTAGCATGGCCTTTCCCTTCTAGCATGTCCTTTCCCGCGGCGCAATTGGCGCGGTACGCCTACTCTCCCGTCGTCTCGCGTCAGAGTCAATAGCCGTTCAGCAGAGAGGATGCGTTACCGTTGAAGAGGGCAGCACCGATGAATGTCGTATCAGTGCACCCCAATTTTTGCGTTCTAAGCTATTTTCTCGATTTTTTATTCTTTCGGTGCAACACTGCCCATCTCTACCTCAATTTCAATGGGCTGCCCTCTTCATCGTTAGATCCACCTTGAAACCATCTTAATCCCGGCTTGCCACATCTGGCGTCAATTAAAAGTTTTATGGATACGTTAATGACAATATAAACAATAACTCAGTCGCAGGAAATGGCGAAATTGAAGTCAACAGTTGTCTGGATGCAAAATTCTGTCAAGAGTGAAAGGAAATTGAATAAATTAAGTGCATTGAACATGCTCTTGCTTATGGACTTGACAAATTGTGACTAATTTGCTACTCCATCAATCTTGCCTTCCAGGGATTATTGATATTTTTTATCGTTGTGAAATTTGTGCCTCTCGTATCTGATGAATGTGTGTATGGTTCAAGGGAATAGATATATCGATGGAATTTTTCGGTTTTTTTTTAATAACTAAAGAATTTCAAATATTATTTCTATGACTAAGTAGGATGTTGGTCAACATAAAACCATACATACAGCCTTGATATGGTTTGATTTATTTCATTACGTAAGCGTTAATCTGATGTGGTAAAACAACGCAAGGCATCCAAAAATAAGACTCATAACTCAAACAACCAAGGTTACAAGGTTAATAAGGTCACAGGTGGGTTTGGGACTTTAGATCTTATCTCAGGCCCAGGGCGGCACTGGTGTAGTGGCAAGTGGAACGCTTACCACGCGAGCGGTCCGGGGATCAAATCCTGGGTCGTGAGTCGCCCGGGCCAACCAAGCCTTCCATCCCTCCGGGGTCGGTTAATTGGTACCAGAAAAAACACTGACTTGTACATCGGCTGGCCCCCGCAAGTCATTGTATAGGCCACATCGCATTCAAACGCCACTACGAATGTACAAATGGAAGTAGAATGCGTGCCGCATCCCAAAAAGGGATTGATCAACGGCAAATGCTTTATTCTTTATCCTTTTTTATCCTTATCTCAGGCGCATTCCTCTTCTAACTCTGAAGTCAAAGTCCCCCCCC